TTGGAAAGCAGGAGACTGTTGTAGTTTTATGATATCACACCCTCTAGAAGAAATGATCTCTGGCATTAATGTTTCTATCCTAGGGTAAAAGACATACTCAGTTTTGAAATTCCAGGCCACCATGTTCTTGTCACAGCATCAAATGATGGTTTCATCAAAATGTGGACGCTTAAGCAGGAAAAGGTCAGTGTCTTCCCCCAGGATCAACACACTGCATAAGACAGTACTATATTAAAGTTTTACTTTAACAGTTTGTTTAGTGAGATTCATAAAACATAGATCCTTAAGCTTTTAAGAAGATCTCTTCCAGTTGTGGTCTGTATTGATAGGCTTAAAGTTAGGGTTCCTGCAGAGCTGCCTAGGGGCTTTGGGCTGATTAAGATTAGGTCTCAGACCTAATCTTTTTAATGTGCCATGGTTTTTTTGTGTGTATATTGGGTTGTCTTTATCTTTTAAAAAATACTAGAGAAAAAAATTGCCATTACTAAAAACAGTTGGAAAGATCTTGGTCAATTATGGAACTACTACTAATTTTGAATCAGATAATCAAACACTGATTCCCTTCTCTAGTCTCCTTTCACTCTCAGTATTGTTTACTTTCAACTCTGTGGGTGTGGTTTGTCTACGTCAGATATCACTTGTGTCCTTACAATTTTCTAGTTTGAAGACACTGGCTCTGTGAACGCCCTGGTGAGATCAGTTATAAACCATGGTAGTCAGGGACCTCTAATATTGTTATCGTATGCCCAGGAAAATACAAGCTCGCAGCACCTGGCAGGCGATGTTACGAAAGACATTGCTGGGCAGTTTCTTCAGTGTGCTCATGTAAACCCTGGTGGAACATGTCTGTGCGTGGGCACTGTGACGTGTAGAATGGTACACTCATTCTGGCACTGACGGAAACATTCTTCAGTGGTACATAATGGTATAATAAAACTTCAACTAAGATTATATCATTATGGATAAAGAGAAGTTGTTATCAAAAAATTCCTCCGGGTTAAGTATAAGGTTTTTCCCTTCTGTTTCAGAAAGATCCCCCATCTTTGCTGTGTGAGGTGAACACTGGCGCCAGGCTGACATGTCTTGGAGTGTGGTTAGACAGGGCGACAGATGGAAAAGGGAGCCTTCCTCCAGCAACAGAGCCTTGCCCTGGTAAATTAAGTCAACCATTTAAAAGATTGAGCAGTCTGCTCCCTCCTGAGTTGTTAAAACTTCACTTGAGAGTGAGAAACTTAATGTGCTATCTTTTGTGTTTTAGTAAATAAAGAACAACCGAAAAAGATCAAAAAGGAGACTGGTGATGAGAATCAGGAAGAAGAAACATCAGGACCTAACTCAAAGAAGTCTGGCTTACTTGGTGACAGCAAGAAGCCAACAAAAGGAAATAGCCCAGTGTCAGCCAAGAAGAGGAAAATGACAAACGTGTTGGAAAAGAAGAGAAAAAAGAAAATGTAACTTACATGGCAAATCTCAGACATCTTCTCCCCAAGAGAATGTCTTCTTGACAGATTCTCCTTTTCAGATATCACACACCTAACTTTCCCATGTGAGACACAAAAGGATTTTCTCCTTCGGGAGAAAACATGTAGCCTAAAACTGAGCCACCTTTAGGTGGTGCTTTGTTTTGTTAACTAGTAAAATTATTTTTGGCAGATGGCATTTTATATATTGTCATATGTAGTGATTGTAATGTACACTTTTTACTGTTCAAAGTAACTAAAGATATAAAACTACTGTATTTAAAATGATCCAGAGCTTTTACTGTATTTTTGTGGTGGTGCTTGGGATCACGCCCAGGGCCTTGCATGCTAGCAAGATTTCCCTGTGCACCGCCAGCACCCAGCGCCTTCTTCCTTATGCAGACGTGTCAAGTCTTCACCAGAGTGGATGAAGGGCTTTTCAGACAATTCTGCTTCTAAGCAGTGAGTGACAGGCAAATTTAAAGACAAGGAAACAACACTTCTCAATTTCCCATCTTTCAGAGCATCAAAATATCCATCCACTTAGGCTAGTCTAAACTAGTCTTGTCTTAGACATGTAGACCAGACATAATCCCTCTGTGCCTCATAGGATCAGTGTAGGGTTACCAAGATGTGTCAGTGTGTGTACATCTTCGAACGAGCCTAGCACACTGTCGGTACCTAATGACAGTGACCTGTTACTACCACCCTCATCGTAGACTATATTTTGTCAAGTGGTGGCACATACCTTTAAAGTCAGCGCTCAGAAGGCAGAGGTAGACAGATCGCTATGAGTTTAAGGCTACTCATAGCTGGTCTACATAGCAAGTTCCAGGATAGCTAGAGTTACCTATGTGTGTGCATACGTACATACATACATAACATATATGAAAAAGGACAGCTCAGTAGATGTCAGTTGCCTGAATGTCTTGATATTAGAGGATAGGAAGCCCCAAAGGCATAATTTAAGTAGAAATCAAAAGAAGATGGCTTGGTGATGGGTGAGGGTACTTGCCACTTAGGTACAAAGACCAGAGTTCAACTCCAGAAGCCCAGTTATGGAAAGATAACACATGCACTCCCTCTCCCAGCCCCACTTAAAGTAAAATCTATAAGGTTTTATTTTATTTTATGTGCATTGGTGTTTTGCCTTCACATTTGTGTGAGGGTGCTGGATCCTCTGGAATAGGACTTAGACACAGTTATGAGCTGCCATGTGGATGGGAATTGAACTTGGGTCCTCTTGAAGAGCAGACAGTGCTCTTAACCTCGGAGCCTGGTGAAATTTGTGTGCCTAGATTCCTCCTCTTTTTCCTCTCCCCAGAAATCCCACCTAGACTCCTATTGGCCATTCCACATGAAAACAATCAAAAGATGCCTTAGGCAGCAACGCATCTTTACAGTGTAAATGAATATGCACCAGGGACTCTGGCCTATGCAGCCACAGGACACCATCATCCAGGCCGGGTGCAGACCTCAGTGTGACTGCTTTCAGACCTCTCACACTCGGCTGTTCTCCGTGCGTAACCTTAATAAACTCATTGGTTCTTCAGCGTGCGCTTTGGTTTGTAATTGAGACCTTATGAGGAATAAATGTTGCCTAGTACCCCCAGGGCAAAAATTCTTGATATTCTTGAAATTTCAAGAATATACATAATTACCTCTACTTAAGATCTATCCTCAAGCCGGGTAGTGTTGGCACACATCTTTAATCCCCCTAACACTCCTGAGGCAGAGGCAGGTGGATGTCTGAGTTCAAGGCCACCATGGTCTACAGAGCAAGTTCAGGACAGCCAAGGCTACACAGAACACCCCCCCCCCAAAAAAAATAACCTACCAGCACAAAGGCTGATGATAGGTCACTTCAACATGTGGTTACGCTAACATGCCTCTTCTACCAGGCTGTCACCCTATCCTGATGGCTCTTAATTTATCCCATTTTCCCTGTTTGGAACTGATTTTAAACTAGGCACTTCGAATCTCAACCCCATCCTCACCCGACTTGTGCTGGAGACCTTGTACTCTATCACCAAGCTAAACCTTCAGCCTCACCCTTCCAACATTGTGATTTGGTTGTGTGGCTCAGGGAGCTTCCCTTGGATACCACAGTTTGCTACAAGACAGTCATTTGTGTCAAAATAAGGAACGAAAGTTTTAGGCAGTCAGGTTGATTTTCCTTTTTAGGTCAGCAGTGTAATGTGTTTAAATACCTACTTTGACATTTGCATAGAAGCAAATTACACATGCAAAATTTCCCTTCTTGGCACTACTAGACTGTCTCCTACTCCACACCATACATTGCTGTTCAGTAGCCATACATTGTTGACCAGGTATGTCAGCCATCAGCCCAGATTCTGGGGCTAAAAGGAAAAATATGATTGTCCAAAAGGCAAATGCTTTAAAATAAATGGATGTTTTCAATGTCATGATCTTGCGGGGAAGAAGGCAGCTCCACCCACCCATCTAAGAGATGAGATTGAGATTTTAGAATATAAGGGTATTTGCAGCAGAGAGGGCAGTGATAAAAGAGCCTTAGTGAGGTGTAAGACCAACTGGCTACCCTTGAACTCAAAAAAGTGTGTGTGTAATTATACAAAAAAAAAAAAAAACAACAACAAAAACCCAGGTCTGTCTGAGGCCAAGTTATCCAGAAGAGAATTTGGACAGCAGAGGAAAGTGAAAGACAAGACAAGGCCACTCTGACCCACAGCTTCAAGCTACAGAGAAAAACCAACCAAACAAAACCTTCCACACTCCTGCGTGATGAAGGCACCTGTAGAGGCCACACCCTGCGCTGCTTTTGGAACCATCCAGCTATGAAATAGAGAGCTGTTGCTTATGATGTCCGAGACTAGGGCTTTGCCTCCTTCCTGCTGCCCTTCCTCTTATAGCTATAGCAATTGTAAGGACAACTTGAAGAATTTTCTTCCTTTGGTACCCTGGATATTTTTCCAGCGGCTGTCTATGTTACTGCTGGCTCAAGCAAGGTATGCGTCCCAAGGGCTTTTATCCTGAGGCATTTATGTAGATAAAAAACATTAGATGTAAAAGTTTGATTTAATAATAGAGATACTGGCTACTGATTTTGAGTGTTATTTTGGTATTTCTCTTTGCTAAACTTATCCTCCAACTTATCCTCCCAACGGCAGCTTATGTGCCAGGCACTGCACCACCACCCTCCCTCCACCCCCAACCCCCACGCCCCCACCCCCGCCTCGAAGCGGGACCCAGACCTGGAAGCCAAACCTAAGAACGGAAAACAGCTGGCCCGAAACTAAGCCCCGCCCCTTTCACCTAAAGCCCCGCCCTAGGTGTCGCCCAGCCTCTCCCCTAGGCTCCGCCCGTCGCCTCAAGCCCCGCCTTTCCCGCCCGGACGCAGCGCGCGCCGTGACGTCTGCACACCCGACTCTGGACCTGCTTCCCTCGCTGTGCGCTCGCACGCTCGTCCTTCAGCGCAGGCCTACGGGCTCCAATTCCGGTGTGTTCTTACTTTGCTCCTTTTGCCACTCGGGATTGTTCCGCACGCGGCCGCCCGGACCGCAGGCGCGGGGGACTCTCCGGTGCACCCTCTGCTGAGCTCGCTTCACTGGCCCGCTCTCCGCTCCTCTAAAACGTTCTGGGACTCTGCGCTTTCAACTCTGTTCTGACCCGGAGCCTCCTAGCCTTCCGGGAGTGGAGACCCAAATGCGCCTGCGCTGCTTCGGTGCTGCAGAGGGTCCTGTAAAAGAGCAGGAGTTAATTACTTTGTCGGCGTGTGGCATCCAGTGCAATTGAGACTTGGGCTCTCGGGCATTGTCTTGTCCCTCGCTCCAGCCTAACAGGAGTTGAGTGTCGGATCTAAGGGTTTCTAAAAGTTTGTAAGTTGAGTGTTGACTTCTGTGAGGAAGCAGCGTTCTGACCCTCGGAGATTATTAGAAGAGTTGAGGCATAGGCCGTTTGGTTTCTGATTTAGCCACCACTCAAATTAACTGATGAAACTGTCAGCTGTAGACAGGTACCAAGCAGGAGAAGGAGACCCTCCTGTGGGCCTGTGCTATAGCGAAGGTTGTGGAAATACTTGGTGCCTCTCCAGCACTTCCGTTCATACGGAAGGAAGGCTTTACCCGTTACCCAGTTCCCTTCACCGGGTTGCAGATCTAGGGCGACCAGAGACTGTGTGCCCAAGGAGCTGTTTGCACCACTACCAAGAGCTGTACTTTGAACTCATTTCTTTCTTACTGCTAGAGGCCTGAGTGTTCTAACTGCTCTGACCTCTCCCCGACAGGTCCCGGCCTGGTGTGATCTCCAAAGTGACTGAACAATGCAGAAGGACAGTGGCCCACTGTAAGTGCCCAATGTGCGGGAATAGAATCCCCTGGAGCGTCTAAAACCAGAGCACATGACAGGAGCCTTCAGCCCGCCACAGCCTAGGGGCAGCATGGGTTGTGGCACCATCCTTGAACTAGTGGCCTTTGACCTGGATTTGAATCGAGTTCGGCCACTGGCTAGTTCTGGCATGTCACCCAGCCTCTACTTCTGTCCATACAGTAACAGGATTTGCTAGAAGTGACCTTTTTGCCCTTGCCAGTGATTTTTTTTTAAAAAAACCATGTTTATTTAACACAGTTTAAGATGCACTAGTGCCATGTTGCGTGTCCAGGGGTCAGAGGACAGTTTGTTGGAGTTGGTTTTCTCCTTCTGCCCTGTAATCCCATCAGACTCAGATCGCCAGCCTGAGCGTCACACTGTGATTTTTGTGCTGTGTTTTAAACTTGGTTGGCACTGGCTTCTCCCTCTTGCCGTTCCAGGGTGCCTTTACATTATCTTGGCTTCGGCTATGCGGCCCTGGTTGCTACTGGTGGGATTATTGGCTATGCAAAAGCAGGTAAGTCTTACTTACGGTTACTCTTAAAACTGTCACCTTAGTCTAGTGAAATGGGGGTCCCCAGGGTCCTCGGAGCCTAATTTTTCTCGACTCAGCTTTGCTAGGCCCCTGGGTGCAGCCTGCATAGTCAGTCAGGCTGGCTCTTCCTGCTCTGACCTTGGGTTATCTGGGTAAGTTGAGCCAGGCTTTTTTTTTTTTTTTTTTGTCTACAGATAGGCAGAGGTGGTAGTTGGCGGTTGTTATCACCCTTTGCCATACACCCTTTGCCATCCCAGTGCGCTGTCAGCTCCTCAAGAGGGAAACCTTGTCTCTACGCAGTCTGTGTTATCTGTTTAACACCAGCCTGAATCCAGGGCCTTGTGCGGGCTAGACAAGCACTGTATTGAGTTACCCCTCCTGAAGGAGCGAGGGCTGGGGCGTGTAAAAACTGACCATCCTGTAGCACCTGCACTACGGGAACCAGGCTTGAAACTTAAAATCACACGCACACACAGACAGAGACACGCGGACACGGGCCATCCTTGATACAAGAATGCCCCTTTGCTCTATAATTATGGGTGGTCTCTCAGGGATCCGTAGTTCCTGATCTCACTGAGGCCTCCGCTTGTAAAGCACACCGTTCACGCTGCGCTGCGTGGAGGCCGTGCTGCCGTAGGTCTACAGGTCGGTACTTGAGCCGGGAACTGGGTTGAGAGACTTAAAAACATAGACGAGAGAGAGGGACATAGACACCGGTTACTCTTGATACAAGAGTGCCAAGTTTATTGTGCTCAGGGGCAGCTTATGTAGGGCTCTGGCCACGCCCCAGCTCTCGCGATCTTTCAGCTGCACACCCACCAGCCTGCCATCAGGGTTGCGTGCTCAGAGCAGCTGCAAACATAGGGAAAACAAGCTGCTCACAGGGAATTCAGGGTCCAGGGGACCACAGCCCCCAGTAGCTCCCACAGGGATGGTAAGACCCCATCTTCTCTGGTAGACTCCCCAGACTCCCCTCTGCTTGGAGCTCTGTGGCTCTAAGCCTTGGGAACTCTCTTTTACAGTTTTACTCTACAGGAGAGGGGATTCTCGTAGATTCCATCTGTAATGTGTGACATTACAACCCAGATGTAAGCCTGTTTCCTTCTCCCCAGGCAGTGTGCCGTCCCTGGCTGCCGGACTCTTCTTTGGGGGCCTCGCAGGCCTTGGTGCTTACCAGCTGTCCCAGGATCCCAGGAATGTGTGGGTTTTCCTAGGTAGGTTTGCCTCAGACTCTGCAGCCATGTTCTGCTTGGCTCTAAGACTCGTGGGCAGGTGTGGTGGGTTCTTTTTCCTGCCAAGGTATAGTTGGGTCTCACGGTGGAGAACCCTGGGTTGTTTCCCTTTGCATACAGAATGCAGAAAGGTTTCATACTGTCGTGGGTTTAATTTTCCCGGTGAGATGTGTTTTAAACAGTGTGTGTTAACTGTTGAGTTTTCACACTCAAGACAGCCTGCTTGAAACTTAGAGAAATCTCACACATACCGCGAGGCCGAGTCCACGTAACCTTTTCCCCAGTTGAACGCCTCTCCCCTTTTACACTTAATTGTGTAAGACACAGACCTTGCCTTTGGGGAGCTTTCAAGTTCATTGGGAAGTCAGGTAATTATAACACACGTTATAATTAATTAATATATAATTAATATTGTATATAGTATATACATGATATATTATAATATATAATATTATATATAGTATATAATATTATTATATGATTGCATAATTAATTATATATAATTAATTATACATTATAATTATTATGTAATATTAATTATAATTATTGTATTAATATATAATATATAATTAATATAATAATTATATAATATTATATAATTATAACACGTACCTGTTCTGCATGCTACGGTACTGTTTGTGAGCCATACAAGGGGCTGGAGATTGAAACACACACACACACAGACAAAGACACGGGTCATCCTTGAAACAAGAATGCCAACTTTATTGTGTTCCAGTGCAGCTTATATAGGGTCTCCTTGACTAATGGCCACGTCCTAACTCTCAGCTGCAAGCCCACCAGAAACCACTCCCCTGTCTTATGCTCAGAGCAGCTGCAAGCATAGGAAACCAAGTTGTTCACAGGAAATTCAGGGTCTGGGGGTCCACAGTCCCCAACAGGTAATGTGACTCTGTGGAACTGTAGACAAGTGCCCTGGTGCAGCCCTGGTTGTGGGGTGGGAGTGGGGGAGATGATGGCCTCTTACAGTGACCTTTGACACATTTTTCTCATTCTCCACTCTGGTGCTAGCTTTTGTCAGGGGCGTGGCACCTGTGTGCCTCATACCCACAGTGTAAAAACCCAGGCATCTCTAACCCTCCCAGAGGTGTCCCCAGCTGTTGAGTAGGAAGGGAGGCCAGCTGTGGACAGTCTGAGGCGAGGATGTGCTGAGCTCCTGGTTCTTCCGAACAGCTTCCTCATCATGGTTTGGAGTGGCTGGTAGACCACGTCTGCCTCTCTGATCCCAGCGTTCTCCCTTCAGGTGACCCCACGGGTACTTGAATGAAAGCAGCCACTGGGATTGATTACAGCCGTCAGCTTCCAGGCCACCCAGTTTCCCGTTTCTCTCCCCGACCAGGGCTTTGACTCCTGAACTGTGGACTGTCTAGGGTCTGCCATTTATTTGTGCTCCCCCATAGAATCACTCCTATTGCAGGATCCCACATATAAAGCTCCCATGCAGTCAACTTTGACTGCATTAGAAAAGGAAGGACCTCTGGGCCTACTTCCTCTTCAGTCACTGGCTTTGCCCTTCCCTCTCAGAAGCTTCTCATTTCTCTCTCAGACATCATGAATCCTCTTCAGTCTTCATTTTTGTTCTCTTGACCGTAGAATGCTTACCGCTGCTCCCCCCCCCAGTCTCACAGGGACCTGTGTCTGTACAAAACTTTTCCCCAAGTCTCTCCTCCACACAGGTGACCACCGATGATCTTTGTTTTTCCCGTTGCCTTCTCTCTTCCTTTCTGAATAGTAAGCACTCTGCTTAGGGCCTGGCTCTTCTCTTGGCAGCGCCATTGAAGGTCATGTCTTGTTTTCAGGACACAAATGACTCACAAGCTTCTCTGCTAAATCAACGGTTCCCAACCTTCCTAATGCTGCGACCCTTTAATGCACTTCCTCATGTTGTGGTGACCCCAACCATGAAATTATTTTGTTGCTACTGCCTAACAGTAATTTTGCTGTGGTTATGAGTATTGATGTAACTATCTGATATGCAGGACCCACAGGTTGAGAACTTCCATGCTATGGTTATGAGTATTGATGTAGCTCTCTGATATGCAGGACCCACAGGTTGAGAACTTCTGTGCTAAGCTCCTCAGGCATGCAGGTGTTTCAGCACATCTAGTCTTCTCCATGTATTCAGCTTTGGGGTGCTCTTGCCCTCGGCCTCCAGCAGTGCTGTCTGCGTCCCCATTTCCGTGGCCATCACCTTCCTAGTCCTCACCCTCTACTACTAGGCTGTGTCTGCAGCTGCATCATCTTTTTTTAATTTTTCTTTCTTTTTTCAAATTTGGAGACTAGTATAAGTGGATGTTTCCTGTCCTGACCGGTTGGTCCCAAATAATCACTAAGAGGCTTAATACTAATTACAGATGCTCAGTTGATAGCTCAGGCTTATTACTCACTAACTCTTACATTTAAATTAACCCATTTCTATTAATCTATGCATTGCCATGTGGCTTTACCTGTCCTCCAGCTTGTCTTACCTCCTGGGCAGCTGACAGGCATCTCTATGCCTTACTTCCCATCATTCTCAGTTTGGCTTTCCCACCTAACTTCCTGCTCAGGTACCAGCCTGGCAGCTTTTTATTAACCAATGGGAGTGATTCATATTTACAGTGTGCAGAAGGATTATTACACAGCAGAGTAGAGTCTCGTTAAGTTGCCAAGGCTGTCTTTGAACAGGAGGACTTGTGGGCCTCCTTCAGTCTCCGTGGAACTGGGTCCACAGGCACACACCACCTGTTCTGGTTGTCGATAGTGGCTAAGTCTTTGCTTCTCTAGTTCATCCTTCCATAGAGTCCCTGAATCAGCTCCCTGCTCCCTGTCAGGCCATATGTATAGCAATCGTTGTAGAACAAATTAGACTTCGCGATTCTTTAAGCTAGCTTGTGTCTTGGGGCTTGAAATACCGAAAGGTTGTATTGTTGAGTGCAGTTAAGAGTCTCAAGCTTAGCAAATGCAGTCAATGTTTTTCTGCCAAAACACTTGGTAGCCAGCATGTAGGGTAAAGAAACTGCACAGTGTTTTTGAGAAGGTGAAAGCGTTTAGGGCTGAAGCCTGGGTTTTGCAAAACAGTTATGGAAATGAGATCATTCTGGCAGGCTGGGCTTGGGGAGGTCACTCTGTCACCTGACAGAACACCTGATAGCACAGTTGCTCTTGTGTTTCAGAGACAGAAGGCACAGTGGTGGGAGTGACCCAGCCCTTTGTGGTAGGGGTCTGTTCACACCACGAGGGGCCAGGAAATAGGTTGGAGACCTAGGGTGGATGTAGCCTTCAAAGCTCCATTTTAATGATCTACCTCTGTCCGCTCCATAAACTCCAAAGGAGTGCCCTAAGATGACAACCAAGCACTCGGAATATCAGCTTCAAGGAACAGTCCAGAGTCAGCTATAGCAGAATGTGAAGGGCCTTACTTGACCAGTATTTGTATTTAGACCTGACTATTGTGGGCAGCAGCGAAAGCTCAGTGTTCCCTCCACCCCCACCATTGTAGGATGAAGTCTGGGCCTCGAAAAGGAGGCAGGACTTCACTCCTGCCCTGCATGGAGGATGTGCTGACTGTTGGACTTCTCTTTCTCAGCTACATCCGGGACCTTGGCTGGCATTATGGGGATGAGGTTCTACAACTCCGGGAAATTCATGCCTGCAGGTCTAATCGCAGGTGCCAGGTACTTGCCTTTCCATTTCTCTTCACCGAGACAGTGCTTGGCTTTTTGTTCAAGACACTTAAATCAGTCAGAAATATGCTCACTTCAGTGTACCTCATCCTAGACTTCACCTCCCCATTTTCTAGAGGGAGTTTTCTCCCCAAGTGGAAAAGACAAAAAAAGCCTTTGTAGTTGATTTAGGACTGAAGTATATTCATTCATTGTAGACATGATCCTGAATTTGCTCTGTGGACTGCCCTAGACTCCACTACTAATGTCACAAGCCTCTGAGCAAACCCCTGGGTGTGGCTGTGTGAGACTGTCCATGTCGGTTCCCTATTTCTTAGTTACCTGAATGGTCTATATTAAAAGTTTTACTAAAACGAAATTTCTTTTACTGAATTCCATGTTCTATTTAATTGTGAAACTGTCTTAAATTGACAAGTTCTTAAGTATAATAAACACATTCTGGAAGTAGGAGAATTTAAAAAAAAAAAACAAAAGCAACAACAAAACTTGTCTCAGGAAAATAGATACTTTGCTTGTCTTTGGCTGTGGTTATGCTGTTGACCAAAGGCTTAAACACTGGAAAAAAAAACAGGCCAAGGTCACGACCACTAGACTGGGAGGCAGGATACCTGCTGTTAATTGGCCAACCCTGTGACCTCTGAGGCCTTGTTCTCTCTTCCCCTCATTTCCTCAGCCCTTCCAGATTATTGGCGTTGGTCTAGGGGTACCATGTGCCCCTGTGAGACTTCTGTGGTTTTTCTTTGCCTACTGGAAGGAGATGTTTTCTTCCAGACTGCTCTACTTCAGCTCCTCCCTTCATACACAGTTGAGCGGGACCTGAGGCTTTGATCCTTTAAAACAACAGGCACCTGTATGTCCTTCGCCTAATCACTTGTTTTTTCTCTGAACAGTTTGCTAATGGTTGCCAAGCTTGGAATCAGTGTGTTGAGTTCTCATCCGTAGTAGCCACACCTGTGCTTGGGCTCCAGAAGAACTGAAACTCCCCAAATGTCCACATTTACAATGTCTGAAGAAAAAAGTGCAGCATATTTACATATTCTGACATTTTACAAATGTCCACCGAGCACACAGAGGTGACAATGAGCTTTTGCTGATGTAACTGGTCAGGGGTGGCGAGTGTCCAGCCTGAGAGCAGATGCTGCCTTCATGCAGCTTTGTTCTTGTATGATGAGATGTCTCATTTCTGGACCAGTAGACAAGGATGTCAACATGGGGGGCCCCAGAGCCACAAGTCCTGCCCAGAAGTGTGTGAAATCTCTTGGTGACATTTGTGATGTGGGATCTTTTGTATAAGTCTGCTATAAAATCATGTTACTGTGAAATACCAGTGAAAATAAAGTTTGCTATTAAGAACATTTCTCGGGTGTCCTTTGTTGGAGTGACTGGGATGTTGCCTGAGATGTAGAGAACAGGACAGTGAAGAGCCATGAGGGGATCCGTGAGCGTCATACTTAGGGATTCCCCGTTTGGAGTGACCAAGGAAGGTTATTGTTCGACTGTACATTGTCTGGAAGTTTGTTTTAATAATAATTTGTGAGCTGCGTGGTGGTGGCACACACCTTTAATCCCAGCACTTGGGAGGCAGAAGCAGGTAGGTCTCTGTGAGTTCAAGGCCAGCCTGGGCTACAGAATAAGTTCCAGGACGGACTCCAAAGCTACACAGAGAAATGCTATCTCAAAAAACAAAACAAAACAAAACAAAACCCTAAAACCAAAATACACAAAACCCTTTGGGAATTTCTAAGATAGGACTGTCATGCAAACGGACTTAACCTCACATCTGCTCTTAAGTATCTTGAAAGCAGTCTTAGTGTGTGCAAGTACAACCTCCCATTGTAGCCTGAGCTCACTGCCTTGCCTCTGCCTTCCAAGTACTAGGATTAGATGCCTGCCATCCAAATCATCCTTAAATACGATTCTGAATATCTACACCGTGTTTATAATAAAGGGTATGTCTAGACATGCATGTCTTTTTTAAAGGCAGGATCTTTCTATATACCCCACGGTGGCCTTGAGCCACAACTTCATTTTCTGGAGTGGTGATGTTACAGGATTTAGCCTTCTTGAATTATGCCCAGAACTCTGTGCAGCTGGTCAGGACCCTACTGTGGATTGCATGTTTTTGTACTGGAGCGCTGATCCGTTTCTCATCTGAGACCCTGGGTCTTTTTTCACGTCCTGCTGTAGAGTGACTGCTATAGTCCTATCAAGGACAGGTGTTTGATGATGCTGTCTTGAAAACTGTCTGAAATGAGGCTGGGCGGTGGTGGCACACGCCTTTAATCCCAGCACTCAAGAGGCAGGTGGATCTCTGAGTTTGAGGTCAGCCTGGTCTACAAGAGCTAATTCCAAGACAGGCTTCAAAGCTACAAGAAACTCTGTCTCAAAAAACCAAACCAAACCAAACCAAACAAAAAGATCTGAAATGATTTGATAGCCCTTGTCATAGTGATCACCTTCCACATGTAGTTGTATCAAATCAATGACATCAACAATTTAAAAAAAAAAAAGACATTTACAGTTGAGTGATGCATAGCATAGGTCCATTCTCTGGAGAATCAGAATCAGATTGAAGTAACTTGAGTGTGGTTATGCCATGTTGCCCAGGCTGGCCATGTTCAGTTAAATTCAAGTAATCCTGCCCCAGCTTCTTAAGTACCTGGGGTTACAGGTGTGTGCCTCCATTCGCAGCTTGAATATTGCTTGTGTTGCTAAGGCTCAAATGTGGGGTCATGCATATCCTAGGCACATCTTAGCTAAACATATATGCTTTTTGTTTACCGCACGGTGATTTTGTTTAGCAGTGCTGAGCAAACCACCCAGAGAGCCTCATATATGTGAGACAAGTGTTCTACCCCACCACCCTGTCCAACACCCAAACCAGAGTCTCAGAGCAGTGAGGCTACTGGAATTTGGGTCAGAACCTCCAGAATAATGAGCCAGAATACATCCCTGCCGACTACTTTCTCGTTTCCCAGTCACCCAGATCTGAATCACCCACACAAAAGCTATATTAATTACAACACTGTTGGGCCAATGACCCACACATATTCCTAGCTAGCTCTTATATCTCAAATTAACCCATTTCTATTCTGTATATTTCCACGAGGCTGTGGCTTACTGGTAAAGTTCTGGCATCTTTCTCCTTCAGCAGCTACATGGCATCTCCTGACTTCACCTTCTTTCTCCCTGCATTCAGTTTAGTTTTCCCACCTACCTAAATCCTGCCCTGCCATAGGTCAAAGGAACTTCTGTATTAACCAATGGTGATAAAGTATACAGAGGGAAATCCCACATCACCCCACTGTGTTGGTCTCTTAAAGGAAAAGCAACAAGAAAGAAAAGACGTTATCTTTGTCATTTTGTGGCACTGGTTTGAATCCAGAGCTTTGTGCATGTCAGGCAAGCACTCTACCGTGGAGCAGGCTTTTACTGGTTTTGATGTCAGGCCTTACTAAGTTGGCCAGGCTTTGAATTTGTTTTGTGGCCCCGATAGGACTTGAACTTGCAATTCCCCTGCCCGGATGTGGAATTAATTAAGATATCCTTTAGTATGTGACAACAAAATTTGATTCACAGATAAATATAAAAAAAAATCTCTGGAACTAAACATATGTAGGAACTTTAAATGCACAATTGCTAAGTGAAAGTAGCCAGTCTGAAAGAGTAACATAGTCTATGGTTCCAACTATGGGGCATTCTAGAAATAGAACAGTCAAGAGACATAGATTCTAAGGCCTGGGAGTATGAATTAGTGTAGCTTAGCATGTATAAAGCCCTGGGTTCCATCCCCAGCATAGGAGGGGAGAGAGAGAGAGAGATACCACAGCGATGCAAGATGTTGATAATACAGCTGGGTGGTGGTGGCCACGCCTTCAATCCCAGCACTCGGGAGGCAGAGGCAGGTGGATCTCTGTGAGTTCGAGGCTAGCCTGGTCTACAAGAGCTAGTTCCAAGACAGGCTCCAAAGCTACAGAGAAACCCTGTCTTGAAAAACCAAGAACAACAACAACAAAAAAGATGTTGATAATAGGAAAAGTTGGGGGAGGATGAAGGGTACATGGGAACTCATACTCAGTAAACCTGAAACTTCCACAAAGAAGTTGAGCAACAACCCCTACAAAAAGCCCCATCCCCTGCTCATATATCTTGCTCATATATCTACTGCTACTATATTTATGACAGGAAATGAAACCAGCTTAGATAATCACTAACAAATGGAAAATGAAAGTGTGCTAATGGATGGATTGAGAAAATATGACATCAAGAGGGCCCAAACACAGGCTAAAACTGTGTGTCCTTCCTCCTATAGCCTATAATGTGTACATGTATGTAGGCAAAAGTACAAGGGTTGGTAAAGTCTACAGACCTAGAAAGGAGACCAAGAGAGGGTACTGGCAGGTGATGAGGAAGGATGGGAGTGGGCAGAAGGACACGTGGGGCATGACGGGAAGGGTGGGAAGAGCAGCTAAGGGGTGGGGGAGACAGAAAAAGGAGAACCATAGAAACACATTGTTCAAAAATGTCATAACGATGCTGAACATATATGCTGCTAAGAAAATAAAAAACATGAAAAATAACCACAATGAAATGGACCACAGAATATAAAGTTTATTAATAAAAAAACACACTAGTTAACCTTACATGTAATCAGAGTCTATGTTTCTTAGAAACACCAAGGAATTTTTATTAGCTCTGAGACAATAAAACTGTACAAATACACATAACCATCAAAACTAGGATAAATTACCATTTCAAGTTTAACATTTTAAACATGTAAATATGAACAGCTATATCTTCTATACAAAAATATATGATTTGATAATGTGCCTCTGAGCAATGCCCACAAAATGATGTCAATTATATCAGCATCTATTACAAAGCCAGACATACCTTAAAAATATCAGCAGGCAATAACATTATTCTTTCAAAAGAATATACAGTACTAATCATGTCCAGTCGAGCAAGTGGCAGGTTTAAAATAGTCCAACTCCAAAATATCTATTAAAAAAACAATTTAGTAACAAAACTAAGGACAATGAACTAAGCGAAACCCTGCCATGGCAACTGAGCGTGTTCACCCTGTGGCTGGAACATGAAGATCAGAACCTGGGTTTGCCTGGGAGTCAGCTGGTACACTTTACCTTTGTGTCCAGTAGAAACACAGAAGCAAGAGTTGGAGAGTCAGATGAACAAGCATCAGATACAGTTTCCAGAACGTTCTTAGTGATGAGAGGACGAGAACCCTGGTGTGAGCAATGTAGAACTTACCAGCCACAGAGTCTGATGGTCATCGTGAGTTCAGTTTGCTCAAGGTCCGACAACAGTGCTCAAGTCTGCCTGGCACACTCTGCTAGTCTCTCGAGGCCCCATCACTCATCTCAGAGTTCCAAATGTAGAAACCCAAAAGGTAGCTCCCATCTTTCTGACACTGCCGAGGTGGAGAGAGCCACCGCCGAGTCCACCCAGAGGCCTGCCTCCCGCTATGCAGACTGCTCAGGCCACTTGGTCTCTGCAGTGACCAGAACAATAGCTTAGGCTAACAGGCAGCAAGCAAGAGTGAAATTCTCTACCCTTACCTCCCAGAGTCATAGCTACAAAAGCTTATGCACTTGTCTAGTAATTTGTAGATCAAATACTTGATACTTTGGCAAATAGTTTATTCAATACTCTGTAAAATCCCGCTCGAAAGTCTCGGCACGGTGCTGCATCAGCACTGCGGGCCACGAGTTAAGAAAACGCATTGCATTTCCAGGAAAGGAAGAAACGGGAGCCGACTTCTGCTCTTTGAGGTACCCACAGTGGTGTGTTTCTTGGGGGAACTCAGTAGAAATAGACTCTGTAGACATCTCCCAGGGTCAGGGGCTGGAGAGTCCTCTGCGGAGTGGTGCTTCAGGGTGTCCACCCCTTCTACCGGTGGCCTCCGTACTTAGCCACCCAGTCTGTCCTCCCGTGCACCGAGGGGACTGGCTGTGTGCGGTTCATGATATTGAGATTTTTTGTTGTGGGATTGTAAGTTCGTCCTGAAAACGGGCCTCGGCTAGGTTTTGTGTTCCAGGCATATTCTGAAAGAAATCAGAATTTCATTTATTTGATTATCAAATTCAAAATAAAGCAATTCATCTTTGTTTTGTAGGAAAGTGTGGATTTATCTTTGAAAGCTGTGGAGCAAATGTGAAGGTTTGCATTTAGTTTTCTTTTCTCCTTTCTTTTCTCTCTCTCTCTCTCTCTCTCTCTCTCTCTCTCTCTCTCTCTCTTTCTGTCTCTCTCTCTCTCTCTGGAGCCAAGTTCTTATTATGTAGCTCAGACTGGTCTGGACCACTCACTACATAGCCCAGGCTGGCCTCAGTCAGGGTCAGTTCATCTTTACTCTTCCAGCACTGATGTAGGGTATTACACAGATATTTACTAGAATTTTCCATGGCGTAAGAGCCAGCACTTCTGATTTGTTACTCAGATGTTGCTACTCTTAGATAGCTAAACGGGAGTGAACTGACCAGGAAACATCCGTGGTTCTTTAGTCAATGAGCAGCATTGGTGATTAATCTCACGCTGTGGTTACATCCTAATAACATTCAAACACGGTATTACCACTAAAGACATGCTTGGGACTGTGTGGAACTCAGGCTTCATGGAAGCTGTGCATATAAAGTTCTGTAAAAATGTACTATCTAGAATTTTGATGTCTCTTTAGTTTTTTAGATACTACTATATAGCTCTGGCTGACCTGGAACTCACTATGTAGATCAGGCTGACCTAGAGCTCTGCCTGCCTCTGCCTCCTGAGTCCTGGATCAAACATGTGTGCTATCACATCTGGCTCTACTGTTTCCTTCCTTTTCTTCTTTTTTTAAAAAACATCATTATTTATTATGTATACAGTATTTTGGCTGCATGTTTTGCCTGAACACCAGAAAAGGGCACTAGATCTCATAGTAGTTGGCTGTGAGCCACCATGTGGGTGCTGGGAATTGAACTCAGGACCTCTGGAAGAGCAGACAGTGCTCTTTACCTCTTGAGCCCTCTCTCCAGCCCCTCCTTTTCTTTTCTTTTTTCCCTTCTCTCCTTCCCATTCTTTTTCTCTCTTTTTTTTTTTAGTACTAGGAACTGAAACCAGGCATTAGACGCCTAGCCGGATAAGAGCTTTGCTAGTGAGCCAGAGCCCCAGGTCACAAACTTCATTGTGTTTTTTTTAATTGGTAAAACCATGTGTGATCACACAAACCCTTAAAGAGCAGTCTTTTAAAAAGATCTGTTGTTGTCTTATGTGTATGAGTGTTTTGCCTATATATACATATATATAACATGTGTGTTGAATGCCCAAAGAGGTCAGAAGAAGGCGCCAGAATCCGTGGAACCTGATTTACAGATAGTTGTGAACAGCCATGTGGGTGTTGGGAACAGAACCTGGATTATATTCAGAAGCCACAAGTGCTCTTGGCCACTGAGCATCTCTCTAGCTCCAATCAGCAATTTTTAGAGGAGCCCAAATCTTTAATCGCAAGGTTTATCTTATTCACCTATATGACTGTGTGATGATTTGTGAAGAGGTTGGCCCAGCGTTAGTGGATTATAATCCATGATTTGAGAGATTTAAAATTTGTTAAACACTTGATATCTGAATGAGCCTTTCTTACACGTCACTGTGATGTTAAGAATGGAGGAGGGAACCACGTGGGCCTGTGGTCAACAGGTGTTGGCCTCTATTTACAAGAGCAAAGCCCTTGGCATCCTGACTGCTATAGATAGTGTTTGGCTTGGGGGGGGGGGGGGGGCGTGGTATCAGTGGACGGGCGGGCAACTTCATACTGCTCTTACTGGCGGCTGTAAATGAAACA